AAAAAAAAATGCTGCATCGGCTATCTTCCTCGCAGTGTTGTCCCATGGCGGGAGTGTGTTCTCAAAACAAAGTAATATCACGTTTGTCGATCGCAGTTACGATTACAGTATCTGAGAAATTCACTTCTCAATCCTCTGCTCTATTTCAATAGAATTACAAATTGCTGCTTTATCTATGCAGAGCTCTTTTTTTATTCAAACTAGTTGTAAGAGACAGAATAAATCATTATTCTCAGATCGATTTGATCACGAATTTCAACATAAAGACTAATCACCGGGAACGAGTCAGTCGCATCGGAACTGAAGGATCTGGAGCAGTGCTAAAATATTTTCAAGACCATTGATGCAGTCACCTCTTTGAACAGGAGCACCAGAATGAGCTGCGAAAAATAAGGAGATAGGAAGCAAAAGCTCATTTCAACCGCTCATACGACTGCTCTTCGCATGGTGCTCGAGGAACTAGTCACTGTCGAGTTTGCGCAGAACATCTGCTAACAGCGGCTGAGATGAAGTTTGAATCTCAACGGGGAGAAACAGGAGTCAATCTACTAATGATGTAGGGCAGGGATCCCTCATCTTTGGTGATGACACGGAAAACCTTCATGGATGGAGGTTCACAACAGAACTGACACCAGCACTATGATCGATGCCAAAAAGCCTTCTGCCAGCGTCACTTTCCCAAACAAAGAAGAAGAGTGACCACCCAACTCTTGTGATCTGTGTCTGAAGGGCTATTCATCGTGTTATACAGTAGGAAATACCTCTTCAACGCGGTCTGGCAACATGAAAGAGCTCGTTGGAAAAAATTTAAGAAGCTTGATGCCAACTGATTACAGCGATTTGCGGAATCGTTTCCAGGAAGGTTATAAGCTCGTATTCTATCGAGCCGAACATTTTGTTCAATAAAAACAATGTGACCAACTATTTGGCGTGAATCGATTCCGCTTCGGAGTGCACCCCACATTCGACTTCCATTCAGGATCTAGGTGACAATTTAAATGCGCATGTAGCTTGTACAATGAATTGCCAACTGATATAACTGTGCTTTCGATTGGTTGGCCTGGTCGATCCGGGACCCTACGTGTTATGATGTGGTGTGACGGAAAATGCTTGCTTTGTCTGCTTTCAGACTTCGACGTCCGTTGCGTCCGTCCTTCCGTGCGGCGCGTTGCGGTCGCCTTGCGTGCGTGCGACGACGTCCTTAGCCCACTAGTACACAACACTGGGTCACTGGATCACGTGCCAACAAATGGCTAGGGCCGTCGTCGCACGCACGCAACGCGCCGCACGGACGAACGGACGCATCGGACGCAACGGACGGACGTCGAAGTCTGAAAGCAGCCTTTCACACCTCAGCGATTCAACCGGTCCGTCCGTCGCGTGCGTGCCGCGACGGCGGTTCTGGACTGGTGTTGACAGCACTGAGTACCGATCGATACCGCAAGACAAGGGGAAGACCAATTTCATCGGCATCCAGTGCAGTCAGCTCCTGTTTAAAACCGCCGTCGGGACACGCACGCGACGGACGGACGGACGAACGGACGTCGGCAATAGCACACTGTCGCGCACCATGCGTGTGCGACAGTTCACCATCTCCCATCACACTAGCTGCCTCGTGGGGGACGGTACGAACGTGCGTCCGAGGGTGCGCGCGGCGAATTGCGCGGCAAAGTTCGTGACGATTTGCACAACTGCGGTGCCAATTTTCGGGGCACAAACTCGAAGTAGTGTAGTTTAGTA